CTCTGGTGCTTTCTCTACGTGGTATACACTACATCTGTCTTCTGCGAATACAGCAAAGGCTTTTCAAATGTACCTTTCATGAATTTACCTACCCACCAAGTCCGTCGATGTTACGTATTACACGGCGGTGAATCTTTGCTCAGTGGCCGAGTCTAAATACCAATTCATCCCTTCGGTGAGCCTTTCCGGTACGGCGCAACGGGACGTGAATGACGTAAGTATTAGAAGACGGTGGAATTTGAGGAGATATTTGACACAAATGCATGGCCCAGGCGAAAGGTATGGCATCTGGCTCTGAAAGCGAAACACATCCTACTGATGAGTAATTGGTTTATGAGTAGAAGTGACGCGAATTTGAGAAACGCCCAAAACCTGAACCGAGATAGCGGCTTTCACCCTGCTGGACCTCTCGAGCTTGATCGCTAGCTTTGCCTGAACCAACCACGACCTCTCTCTCATCTGTTGTAGCATGTAATCAACGCGATCGCAAGACGGATCGATAGAAGTGTCAAGCTCTATCTTGAAGTTCCTCCCATTGATCGACGCATGAATCCAAATGAACCCCATCGAATACTCAAAGCAGGCTGGGTCTGCATTCCCCGAGGTCACAAGCGTGTTGAAAAGAGGTCCTATCGTGGTTGATGGAAGGCCAGCGCAAAGGTACGTCAAATCTTGACTACTTGCCGTCCGTTTTCCCTTACTGATCATCTCAATCTCATCGGTTGACCGTGGATCGAGAATGACCGAATCTGAGATCCAGTACTCGGTTGACCAATTGTAGAAGAGTGAAAAACTTTTCCCGGCCAGCAAATTCTCAAAACGAAGCATACTTTCCCGGACTTTGGAAGGTCTTTTCCATTCGGGTAGCCCAAGGAGAATGATCTTCATATCTGTCAGGTTTTCTGTATGCAGAAATCCCACCTGATAATCCTCCGGCTTCAGATTTGTCAGGTAGGCCGGAGGCTTCACGACGACACTTCCATTCAGCATAGAAACGAATCTGTCTGCCCTGTCAGGTCTGTTGGAAGGGTGATCCTGTGGCATGATGGTGGATTGCAAGGTAGTGTTGATGCTCTGGCCACAGAGCTTGGACTGCTCCATTTCCAGACAATCTCCTCGGTTTTCGAATATAGAAAAGGGAGCTGGTTCACAAAGGCTTCAGAGGAGCGATGCATCGGAGATGGAGGCTTGTCTTGATAAGGATTAGCATTGATGTTTGCCATAGCCGGAATCAGATATCACATACCGACGGGCTTTTTACGGAAGCGATTGAAGTCGAGCTTTGAGTGTCTGTACAATGGTTTGCCATCGAGATCCATTTTTTTCGTAGTCGTGAATACAGAACGGGCCTGAAAGCAATGCGGCGAAGCTGGGATGGACAAGTTGGCCATCCAAAGTCTTGTATAGGGGGGTGATGTAGTGTAAAAAAATCAACCAAGACACTTCTATGCAAGATGATGTCGAGAGAAAAGCAATCACGCCGAGCTTTGCAGCTATGCAGTTGTCTAAAACAGATTTTGAAATGGGATGGTGATGGATCATAATTTAAATCATTCAGTGATGATTCACCTAGCACTATGTCGTTGAGACTTGAACTGATTTCACCAGTGCAGCAACTAATGATACACAAACACACATCTCGGCCCCTCTCAGCCCCCGCAGGGAGGCCAAAGTTTGAAACGTTGTGATTGTGGAAAGAGGTTCTCAGTCTCGCCACAGACAAGGCTTTTTGGGTACAGTACTGTATACGCTGCATAGGACTCAGAATAGCCATAGGGCTAGCTATACCATCAAACCGATTTCGGTAACTCCAGTTTTTTTTTACTACGGCAGAGCATGCATCATTCTTTCCGATAGTTTTACCGCAGCCTACTATCTAGGTCATGATGCGAGAAAAGATCTTTGAAGTGGTCCTTCCTATTCGAATTAAGAGACTAGATTCTTTTCGTATCTTATCATCAAGTCAATATATCAACCCCTTATAGGTCATCCGTTGTGCCATAGGTCCGACAGAAACATAAAGGGAAGAGTTTTATTGGGGTTGCCTCAAGCTGCCACACTGCCTCACGTGATATCTACACCGACATTACGGAGGGCTCCTTCTTCCTACGACTGCCTCGCAAGAGTCAGTTGCTTGCCTCTGGTGGTAGCTCGTCATCTCTCACGCAGTCAAGTCTTGATTTGTCCCTCCCACCCCCCTCTGTATATAGAAACCAGTATTGCAATATACAGACACATTGCCTCCCTACAAGGGAGCGCGGACGGGCCTTCTCTGACGCTACAGTCTAATGCGTTTACGCATAAGACCGCAGCGACAGGTGACCCGTTACGGCCAAACTATACACGTTCCTGTTCCCATCTTGACTGCGAGAGGTCACCAATAAAATACATTGATATACAATTCTTCTCGGCCGCCACCCGACAAATCTCCTGCCACGCTTTGACATGAAACATTTCCGTGACCAGGATGCGATCGGGCTTTGATTGCATGATTTCAGAGACCATTTTGATATCTTCTTCTATACCTTGAATCGGATGTCTGCTGTAAAACACATTTGCAAAGGTAATGGCCAAATCACGAATGGTGCTGTTGGCAGATGGCTTGATTTCCAAAACCAGAGAGATTCTGGGAAGAAGGAGCGGATCTAATGATAAGAATGCATGGGTGTAATATTTGATCACCTCTGCTCTGTTGTTGACACGGATTCTCTGAGGAATTATCGCAGCAACCCTGACTTCTTCGTTCTGGAACGCCGTTTGAAGGCTTGTGAGAATGGACTGTAGCTGCCTCGTCGAGAGATGAGAGGAGAATATTGGTGGCAATCTGAGATGCTCCAGCATGGCAGAACAGAATAGCTCGTCACGTAACCAGATCTCTTTCGACTCGTAGCCCCGTATATGCAGAGCATCAATACCCATGAAAGCGTAGCATATCAGAGCGATACTGGCTCCACACCAAATGGTCTGTAAGGAAACCAGGGTTGTTGAAAGCACGTTCGGACAAAGCTAGACTCTTGCGATCAATATTGTCCGAGAAGGAACAGAACATATCGGATCTACATTTCCAAATCTTCACATGACATAATATGCAAACCCTGAGATTCGCTCAAAGCTTCACGAATATCACTAAGCCAGGACTGCTGCTGACAATACTGCAAGACGAAAACTCTTCTCCCAGTCATGATCATTACGGTATATGATAGACCACAAGACACCCTTATCACCAGGGAGCATTGCAATAACGAACAAGTAGTGAAGTGCCAGTAAGAGCTGATGAAAAGTGTGGGGGCTCTCGGCTGAAAGAGTACCATTCGTTGGGGCTTGTGTGGGAACTCGAGGTGGCAAGGAAACCTGGCTGCTGTCAGCGGGGAGAAATACAATAGTGGGCAGTAGGATCGCACACCGGAAGTGTCATATTGAAGTATGGTTGCTTCAGACGGGGGTGCTAGCGGAGCTTGGGTGCTCCTCAGGCTCTACACTATCGACGAAAGAATCGTGGATCTGGAAAGCTCTGGGTAATGAAACAGCATTGACGGGTGGAGATTGAAATTCCTGCCCTGGTTGATCGGCACTTCGCACATCCGGAGGGATGTTCTGTATTTAAGGCTTAGGAGGGATCCCCTATGTAGTGCACGCGCACTCCTTCCCCTCCTTTAACAAATGAGCCCACCCGTTGCATCCCGTTCACCAGCGAAGACTCTCCAACGACGCTGGCAATGACTCGGATGCAGACGAGACTGCACCAGCCTCATGCTCTACCGCCATTAGACCAAAGGTAAGTGTTCTCCAAACACCCCGCAAACAAAACTCAACGGTGTGATACAGATCTCTACCGCAGCGAGCAACCTCCCCACGATGCAAATCAAGCAAATCCTAGATTGCAATGTTAACCTCGCCCTATCTGCCCTAAGACTATTAGTTTTGTATCTATGTCTATGGGAAATTTATGTTGTTAAATCTGCGTACCATATCCCGGCTTGAAGATGAGCGGCGCCAGATATGCGAGTTTAACGAATCTCTGGAAGACGAGAATGATAAACTCCTGCAGTGTTGCAACCGACAGGCACTGGAGTTGGAGGATCGGAAACGGGCACTGAACACATTTCATGGCAGCGGCATGTCAGCCTTGCAAATCATTGATCTACCTTACTATCACATCGATAAACCCTGATGCATACACTGTAGTAAGCTCATTACCAGCATTTTGGCAGAAGAAATAAGTCACCGGGACAGAATTTGTGGTCTTCTTCCGAAAGCACTTCAATGCGTTGGTTCCAATCCGAGTTTCACGATGGATGCAGCCGATGTCATGATTACAGGCCACATAAGGTGCGGTAAACTGTGCTGCAGGAGTTGCATCTACAAGACATGCTTGTTCCTCAACCGAGTGCGGGGCATGGTCCCAGCTCCTTCGTCAGGTGACTAAAGGCGCTAAATATTTGGCTGTGAGTCCTAGGCCTCGCCAAAACCCGCCCACTGCCCAAACCCGCCTGCTGTTTTATTAAGTGATGCTTCAATGTTCATGTTATTTGAGGGGAGTTGATTGTGTGTTGTGTTAAGTGTTGTCTAAGATATACAAGTAGACCAAGAGACGGAGATACACGTATGCACGTGATCCCAGCCTCCTTATCTCAGCAACCGGGGTATTCCAACAGCCAGAACCCGCGGTGGGCTGCTTGTGGGCGGGTAAGGAAATTGAAAACCCAACCCAAACCCGCGCTTGGCGAGGTCTAGCTGTGACGTCTTATTAAGACCCGTGAGCATGTGATATATCATGTGATATATCATGTGACTTTATGTGCCCAACGGTGTTGACACGCCCCGCTTAAACTTCTTTTTACCCCTCTTGATCGCATTTCAAATTATTTTGTCTCTTACAAGTATTCACATTTCTTCGGTCCATTGATGGAATCTGGCTGATATTTATCTAGGCCCAAGGAGCGGAGCCTCAATCCTCAATCATCCACCCATCCTCATTTTCTTTTTTTCCCCTCTCGCAGTCGCGTTCGCATTCGATGGAACCCCGAAAACTACCTGGCCCAGCCGAAGATATCCGAAAGGAAATTCAGGTATTAATACCACAACTTAAGACAGTGGAAGAAGATGAGAGTGGAAATAAGAAGTACAGTGGGGATACACTTTCGGAGCTCGTATCTCGAATGAAATCTGCTCTTCAAATCGATGGGTAGGCATGAACGTCCAGCTATTTTTTGCGCATCGCTAACTCTATTAGAACTGGGAAGGACGTTTAAGATACTGGTCGAAGCGCACAAAACTAGACCTTCGAGATACGGCATACCTTATACCAATCCCAAATGAGATTGAAGTGAACGGGTGGTTCCTGAAGGACGGGTGGTTCGTACAAGTTAATAATAACCCAGTTGTCGGCGCAGGCGCAACTACTTTGGTTATCACGCCTCGTTGATTTTTTAAGCTGCAAATGATCGGTGAAGTAAACTGCTGTCATTATGAATGAAATTTGTTGTATATCATATTACTAAAATCGGACTCTTCGCAGCCCAAAAGGGATTCTGGTAGGCTGCGTCCGAATATCCTGCAGCTTGGCGATTATACAAGTCTTTGGGAAAAGTGGATGGTGACGAGTGATTACCTAAGAGACCTTGCTGCAGCATAGGGTTGCCCTGATGGTGTACTTGCCTATGGTCGGTCGGTGGTATTGGGTCAAAATTCCCTTGTAGCATATGACCGTCAGCTTGACTTGAGGTGGCCAAAAGTGGTTGGTTATAGTTTTCATGTTGCCCTATACTGTCACTTTCGCCATTTGTCCAACGCCAAACCTGGCCCCAGAGGCTCGACGATGGGGTTCCGCGTTGCCGCAGGTTGGGGTGGCTTTGTGATTGCATGTTCCAGAGTTCACCCGAGTCAGTTGATCGTGGCAGGCGAGGGCTGCTTTGTAATACGTCAAGACTGAAGCTGAAGATTGGATCTATACTGGGGCTTCCATGTTGTCGTATGCCATCATTTCTATCATTTGTGAAACCAAAAACTTGATCCCAGAGATTCGAGGGTGATGGTTCGTGTTGCAGCGGGTTCAAATTGCCTTGCGGTGGGATAAACCGAGCCGATGTGGTCAGCTGTGGTGGATCAGAGTAGTTTCCCAGTTGCATGCTGTCGTTCCCATCGTCTCTCCAAGACCAAACTTGATCCCAGAGACTCGAGGGTAATGGTTCGTGTTGCAGCGGGTTCAAATTGCCTTGCGGTGGGATAAACTGAGCCGATGTGGTCAGCTGTGGTGGATCAGAGTAATTTCCCAGTTGCATGCTGTCGTTCCCATCGTCTCTCCAAGACCAAACTTGATCCCAGAGACTCGAGGGTAATGGTTCGTGTTGCAGCGGGTTCAAATTGCCTGGGACGTCCCAAACTAAACTCGGGGTGGTCCACCGGTCGGGGTCAGTTGGTGGCAGGATATGATCACTACCATCATGTTGGTTTCCTGGTAAAGATTGCAGTGTGGTTGGGGTGAAATTATACGACTCGAGTTCTCTGTCTTGGTGCTGACTGACAGGGCTGGAGTGATGACCAGACGTCGGCACGTAAGATAATTCGCGATCAAGAAATTGCTCAGAATCGCAAATCACATTTTGCTGACAAACATTACTTTCCAGGGGACAGGTCTTGTCGCTGACCATACAATCCATTGTTTCTTCGTTGTTTGTTGTGCCGGGAGAACATTCCATGGGGCTGGATGGAGAGTGCTCTTGAGAAGCACCATCGATTGTTAAGCTTAGTGGCGAATTAGAGACCGTACGAATTGATTCATTGGGTGTTTCAAGATGGTCGACTTTGAAGATTAGCTGGGGAAATATGAAAAGCTTGCTGGTGGTGCTATACTTTCTGGTGAGTCAGGTGACGCATTTCGACGGGACCTTTTTGGACATGTGCCGGACGGCTCATTTTTCCGTTTGTTGCTTGGCTGGATGATCGATTCGGTGTTGGTTATGTCAACAAGAAACCTTTCAAGCCCCGAGAGATCTTGAATCTTATACTTCGAAAAGTCATACCCAGGCACTCGCAGATTTTCTCCAACCTATGGAATTGTCAATTAAATAGGGAATGTGCAAGATGCCCTGGACGCTGACGTACGATATACGATTTCTATAGATAGTTCGTATAATAGAAGGAATTGCGAAAGGAATTGTTATCACTTGTTGATCCTTTGGATAGAATCTTTTTTTCAGCTTTGCCTTCAAGTCATAGGGATCGATAGAGTAGTCATTAAATTGACTAAAAAAGTTGACCCGATGTTTGACTGACATTGCCAAGAAATTAGATCCTATCATAAAAGTTGAAGCGCGCACATACCATTATAGATGATATCCCAACTACACAAGCCCCATGTAGTGCCAGACAAGATGTCAATGACCCTATTTGCCCATTTCGCACCACGAATCCGGCCCCTTAGGCTTTTTTCTGTAGCATGAGACCGGAAAATCGACCGCATAGCTTGAAAGACATGTTCTTTAGGGGCGACCTCCAGAGCCACTGCGCACATTGAACAGAATATGAGTTCTTGAAAGCATGCCAAAGCCGTAGTATCCATCTCTTCTCTCGGTATGCACTTGCTGTAATCAAGGAGGATCGACAACTCTGGAGTCGTAAGGGCTGATGTCGATAAGAACGTATGGTCTGGTAGGGTTGGCCCGGATACCAACTGATGAACAATCTCCTTTCGATTTAATTCACTAATGGCTGTCCATCTTTTCCAGTCATCTGATTCAGGGAGAATACTGATAAAAGATGCGAATGAGGACAAACGATGCAATTCACGTGTTGTGGCTTTCGTCGGCAAAGGAGTCCCTGCTGTGACTGGCAACTCACACTTGTTTCGTGGTTCGTAGAAGAATATTTGGAGTGAACTCTCAGGGATTCTCTGTTGATGATCAAAATCATCAGCAGAAACCTGTGTTTCAACGCCCTGTATGTAGTGAGAAGGATTCTGGCAGACTGTACAAGGCCTCTGGGCTTCAGGAGAAGACGGCGAATAGGCATTATCTAATTCAATAATGCGTAATTCTAGGTGCTTGATATAAGACGATTTATCACCTTTGCATTCTATCAGGCGATCGCAGGCCATGGTGCAGTGGACAGTAAATTCAAGAAGGCTTTGCACTGGGGAGGCAAAATCCACACATAACCTTGAAGAGGGGCGGGGACAGGCGCGATCGCCGGTGGCGGTGTGCCACTGAGGTGCGTTTTCATCACATGGCGCTAAAATGCCTTCGTTCACCTTTCCATGTTCTGGTTTTATCCCTTGCTTATTTTCTCCGGCTTTCCTTTGTCTTGATGTATTCACCAGCCATCTTCCCTCCATCTTTCCTCTATCGCCCCACCACCAACGCGCTATTCCATAAGTGAAAACAACTTGTTCATGCCAATTCTTCCTTCCGAAAATGGTGTTCCTACAAGACCTTTGAACAAGAAAAGAGCATTGGCTCCAGTGTTTGTTTTTACGCCACTGCTGATTCTATATTCTACGCTAACTAGATTTGTAGACCCGGGCTCCGGGCTGACGAATCTGGTTAGCGTTCTTCCTTCCTGCATGATCACATGCCACACTGCATCTATGCCAGTCTAGAACCGGATAGACTGCCACGTCCGCATACCACAGAGACTTCAGGAGTCCGTATACGTAAGTACGATGACTAGATGGAATGCCGGTAAGTAAGATGACCTCTAGTTGTTGATTTAGAAGACGATGGTGCTAATAACTTGCACCTCCCGCCCTATCTCAATGCAACGTGTATTAAGAAATATCCTTTTCTGCCACCAGGGCCTATAGCAACTGGCTATGCCTATGCAACTTTGATGTCACGGTCTTATTACTACACCTAACATGATAAACTTGGATATTTCCTCCGAGATACCATGTGTCACCTCCTCCAAAGACCAGGTTTCAATTCACCCAATTGGGTTTGCCTGGGCTCTCCAGTGTGAATATTGACCCTGTTCACAAACAACAGTGGCATAGATGCCAGCCCCATTATTAGGTAATGTGATCCATTGCAGGGAGCTGCTTTGGCAAAAAAAGAACCTTGGAAAAATTAGACCGATTATCGGCCTGTAACTGGAAGGTCCTGGTTCCGAGAACAGTTGCTCCATTCGGTCAATGATTCCTGGGAATTGGGAGATGAGAACGCCAGAAAAGATAAAATCGGATTGTTGCAAAGCAGAAATATTAGCTGAGCTCGCAAGAAAGCTTTGCTTTTTTCTTCTGTAGTTATATACACTAACCCAGTCTTTGAGTTTTAAAAAGCCAATGCGTTGGAGTCTCGTCTTCACAGACCCGAGAATTATCGAGTAATAAGACCAAAGACCCCCTCTACAGCAAAGATATTACGGATGCGATTTGACCGAAAAAACCATCCTCGCATCTCAAAATTAGTTCTCCTTTTGCTGGCGCTCCAAATGAAAGATCCAATACCCCAAGAGGAAAATTGCCATCGCCGTAGCATCTCTGCTCGGCGAAAGCGAGAACCTCCACGAAATGGCAACGGAGACATTATCTGTGAGCACGTTGACTGCCAAAATGATCCGCCGACCCTCCGCTTTCCATCTCAATGGAAGTGTGTTTTCTATTGCACCCAAAGAACGTCAGACCTCGAAACTGACCTTCGAATCAACAAACACATGGACAGGCCAGCGACCTTACAAATGTTCCGAGTCCGGTAGTGAAGAAAGGCAAGGCTTCGCCTCGAGTGGTGACTTCCTGCGCCATCAAAAAGAATTACATGACAAAGGCAGCAAGCTCAGAAACCTTTCATTTTGTTCATACAAAGACTACACTCGCAGTTCTTCTAAGCCTTTCTTGAGAGCCGAGAATTGGCGAGACCATTTTTCGGCGGATTCAAAAATAAAAGGATACGAGTAAGACCGAATCATTGGAAAACGTATCAAACGAGCCCACCACCCCCGAAAACGCTTCTCTTAGACCCCACGACGGTCGCTACCCAGCTACATTCCTTTCTCGTGAGAATATTCTACAAATGGAGGCAGACTCCCTCCACGGTCTTCTAGTGGAAAAGTATTGACGTATCCAGGACCTTGAGTGACAGAAAAGGGAATTGGAAGCAATGAATCGTGGTCCCAGAACTAGATCATCGTCTTAGTGCCCTTGAGAAAGAGACGTTACATTGGAATCTCAGTAATTTTTGTTGCGGATTAAATCCCAGTGTTTGATCAATAAATCAGATAACCCATTGATGATTGGCGATTTCCACAAGTGTCATTTTGGCCACAACGCTAGTCTGACGAGTCATGGCAGTAAAATTTCAAAGCCTATCAAGGTTCTTTCCATTCCGTTTGCATCAAGATTGAGTGTTATACCAACTCATAGATTACGCCTGGGACCTGAAAGTGTGAGTTCAGTTCCAGTAAGCGCAAAATAGGATGTATGTTTGGGATTATAGTCGCGGACCACCTTTCTATACCCGAGGCTTGCCTCATTTGCAACGGTGGGTTGCTCGGACCCCTTCTCTTCTTTCCTACCTAGTCAGAAAGCAATCTATGGCTTGGTATACTTCCGATTAGAATCCAGTTTCCAATACATCAAAGTCTGAAGATCTCATAGAGCACTCCATCATAAATAAACAGTTCCATCCACCGGTTCCCTACCACTGTGATTAACAATCCAAATCAATTCACAAGCAGAACGATGATCAACTCTACTCTTGCCATTTCAGCAAATTTTGCTCTGGCGAAATTGAATCTTCTTCTGGTATGGTATGAAAAGTCCTTGAAGTGATCTCCTTTGACTAAAATACCAAGACGAACAACGAATCAGACTGGGCCATTCACTTCAAAAGTGACACGATATACCAGAAAGCCCAAGAGTCGCTTCACATACGAAATGGACATGCAACGCACGAAATCAGAGTATCGGAGACAGCAAAGATGTTTAGTGGGGAAATTCAAGTCGATAAAAGGGTTGTGACTGTGAATAGTCCTGTGTGTTCATCAGACTTGACTTGCGGCACCCAAAGCTACATTCATTTTGAAGAATCAAAGCAGCTAGTTGGATCGAATGTGCGAGACGCTTCGTCCGCTCATCCTGCCGGTGGTGAAGCTGCAGCCAAGACATAGCTCAGCGTCTGAGTCAGGAGATATGAGCTAGATAATTAGCTTAAATGAAATGATGCCTTCTGGAAAGGGGAGACGTCTATCCATCTGCATCACCCTCTTTTCTCCGTAATTGCTATCACTCCATGGAGGTTGCCGACCGATTCTTCAATGAAAAAAGGCCTCAAATTGGAAATGGAATTCGCAGCTACGGGTGGCTTGAGTCACAAATTGATTGCCTTTTCTGCTCTGACACAATCAAATCGAAGCAAGCGCTGCATCATATCTTGGGATACTATGAGCAGGCCGACCCCGATATTCTCTTTGATTTGGACGTCTTTTTACAAAGTGACTGGGCTCGCAGGTCTGCTGTTGCTCGTTGGAACCTTTTTCCCGACTTCGATCAAGTTGTGGATAACCAGAAGTGCCTGCAAAGCGAGCAAGAGCATCCAGATGTTGCCTCGTGCTGTGCATATGAGTCCCCAGGTGCCTTCCAATTTCTGATCCGACAAGGCATTATTCGGCCATGTTACTACAACAGCTTTGGACACAGCCTCTTCCTTCTTGCCTTTCAGGAAAACGCTATCGAAACGATGAAATACATGATATCCACGATGAGTCCGATCCATCTTATTGCTCCTGCATCGGTGGCAGAAATGTGGGATGGGAGGTCAATTCTTCAACTAGCGGCGACGAACGCGGTTGTGTTTTGTATCTGTTGGGAAAAGGTCGACCAAATGCAACTGGACTTGAGAGAGACTCTCCAGGAAGGTGAAATCCGCAGCATTTGCCGATTTGCACGCATGGGCCTAGCCTCTCGTTTGTATCAGAGAGGTATAAATCTTGCTGATGTGGTGAAGAAAGACTCTTCTCTTTGGCTTGAGATGATTCGTTATCATTCAGAACCAACATCTCTTTTTGACTGGCTTTGGATGAACAATTGCCTACCTCCGCAAGACTTTCTTCTCTTTCATCCGGATCCCGATTCCGCTTTGGACTGGCTTTTGGCAAACAATTTTCCACTTCCATATGCTGGACGTGGTCAAGAGTTTCTTTGGAAATTTGCAATCCGTTGTGGCAGGTTAGATGCGGCCCATTGGTTGTCCTTCGATAGGGTAGCGCCTAGCCAACTAGCGAATCGTGAGACAATTTTTGAGTCACCAGCCGGAAAACAGCATGCAATTTTGGAGCATAAGATGTACTAGAATAAGCCGTTAAGCAAATAATCCGGAGAAAGAGGTGTCGCGTATCTGTTCTATGAAACTTTTCCCGCAGAACTCGGTGATAAACTGGATATTTTTTCTCCGGCCAGAACATTGCTTTGAAGGAATCCACAACTACAGCATTTTAGCGGTGTTTTCTCGCAGAATCCACAGCTTTAAATAATTGAACTACATGTTCGGTAGTCCGTTGCATCAGATTTGCTTGGCCATTCATCTCAATAGGCCACGTTCCCATCCTGGATACTATTTCAAGACAACAAAAGCTCACCGATAGCCTCTAGGCTCGAGCGAAATCCACTGTGTAGTAAAATTCCTCATAAGAAAACCAATCAAAAAGCTTTAGAGAATGATTTTATTGGATAATTGACCAGGTGTACAATCTCAATCGGATTGTTCTTGCACAGCACGAACGAACGAAGTTCGATTCTATACGCTTTTGGCGCGATATCTACAGTAAACATGCGGGTTAGATCTCGTACATAAAAAGGATCTCGTCCTATTTCTCCTAGATCTGGGTACAATACAATCAGCTCGATAGGCATCTCTCAACGCCTAAGAAGAATATACCCAGTCCTATCTCGTTCCCATCCTCGCTAGCCATTGCTACGACTCCAAGATGTACGATGCTCTGAGAGAGTACTGTGTCCTAAATGAAGTAGCGAAGAGCTCAGGGCTGGAGCTCGTCTGCGTTGCATGTGATCTGGGGTTTCGCGATCAGGATGTGCTATACAAGCATTTCGATACTATGAAGGGCCAAGACAACGTCCACAACGGATTGTCCAAGAGAGAGGGAGATTTCCCCCTATTTTTGAATAGCTATAGGATAGCTATGGGCTGGGAAACCATCTCAGATGGTGATTTTCCAATCGAATTCAATCAAACGGGACGACGACCTGGACGTCGGCCATTCTACACCTTCTTCGAAATCGATTTTGTCCTGGAAAAAAAGGGCGAGGTCAAATTCAACACCCTGGAGAAGAGTCTTGCGATTGTGGGGAAAATTGTCAGCAATGCCCAAAAGGATTATCTATGTCCTCTCTGTTTGGTACTCTGCAGCACCACCAAAGCGTTTTATTATCATTGTGACCAAATGGAGGATGAAGTCCACACGGGCCTCGCGTACAAGGGCCCAGATTGCCAACTGTTTCTTCCTCATTACTTTACTGCCCTCAAGGCAACAGTACCGGAGAAAGAATTGCCTTTGGGTAGGGGTCGACAGGGTGCATACTCGTTCCATGAGTGTTTCCGGCGGAAGTTCGTCATGAGATGGAAACAAGGTGAGTGAACTCAAGAGGCGAGCCAGTGATTGGTCCTGACTATATGACAGTGGATTCGACCAAAGACCTTGGAGTATGACCAATTTTAGCTTTGGGCGTCTAGCTACGATCTCTTGAGTCCCATAATCACAAAGCCTAGGCACGGCGATCGTCAGTGACTAGTGATGCAGGGGCTGATGCTTGCAGGAGCTGGGGTTCGCCAGTCAGCCCCCGCAATGCGGCGTAATTAATGTTTTTGTATTGTCATTTTGCACTCCAAATAAAATTTTTATCCTTGTGATCATCAGTCGCTTGATCCAGAGGCCCTAAAGGTCTTTAAACATCACCTTTGCAGACCGAGAAGCCCTCCGCTGTCGGATCACACTTTATTCCGAACGATTCCAGAATATATATATCGCTTGGGTGGTTCCAAAATTTGTTCAAAAGAACTTTCACCCATCATATCATATACAATCCTATCTATCGAAGAAGCGGATGTTTCCCTTTCCGCGCTCCTTGCCAAAAGCAACAACATCGAGAGGGTCAGTGGTGGAGCCATAATACTTAGCTTCCGTCCGGATGATCTATCTTCTCCACACGTCCTACTTTGCCAACGCTCTCCCAACGGGAGAGATGACGATGGAGAGCCGACAATGAATTCTTTCCCTGGTACATGGGAGGGCCCTGGCGGTGGTGCACTGCCGGAGGACAGGAGCATTTTGGGAACCACGGTACGCGAGACTGCCGAGGAAACTGGATTGGTGCTCTGGGCGGCTTCCAATCGGGTCTACTGTGTTACATTCCCTCATAAAGATGTTTTGATGGCAAAATATTTGGTCATTGTAGAGACTAGCAAGAAAGCCAACTGTCGACGTTTGTGGTCCGATGAACACGACGGACCTCGTGGCTCGGATGAAAAACCAATCCGGCTGAGGGACGACGAACACCTCGACTACGTTTGGGCCACAGAACAGCAAGTTCGAAACTCGGTGATTTACGACCCAAGCGATACAAGAAAAGTAGGGCTTACCATGATCCAAAGCAACAAAGATGTTCTCCTGGACTTTTTCTCGTGGCTGAAGAAAGATGACCCTTGCATCGAGTACCCTCTGCCCGAGCTGCCACTGCAGGGCGATGGAAAATAGCATCTGATTCGAAATACCCGCTGGTTACAATTGGCAACTGTTTAAATTATGGGCGACGATTTTGAGCTCGGGTTATACTCATGGGTTGTGACCGCTTTAGCGTCAATTAACTACGGAGGTCTTCTTGGGGGATATGAGGAGCAGAGGCATCTTCATGAAGAATTAAATTTGCGGACCGCGATTTCCTGCTGGATACGCGCCACCAATACTTTCGTTGACCTTCTGGTAGATCTCAGCATAGCAATAGGTTACACAAATCCTGGGAATGATAATCCTTTCTCAAAAAATCTTTGGTATGGACAGATTATAGTCCGTCACACATCGTAGAATTTGAGGGAGAGATAATTTGTGCTACTTCGGTAGACACATTCTCTCGTCGTGGCTGATCATTGCCCAGCAGCCCGCGAAGATTGAACCTCTGTATAGGAGTTTCTGCACTATAAAGCAAACAATTCCTCATCTGCAGGAATCATTCGAGTACAGATCATCTCTTTTGCCCAGTCATTAAAGCCATGCAACGCGCGTCGGAAGTTAAAGTCGATCCACCTGCACGATGTACATATAGCAGGTATGCCCATTCTGCGTCGACTCTCCAATGCAGCTGATAATGAAGAAGTTTTTGTTTTGATGTGATTGAAACCTGTGGTAGGTTCTCTGTCTGGCCTAAATCGGGCTTTCATACCCAATGTCAACGTACGTTGGGTATCCAGCGGACCGACTTCTCACCGGCACAGGTTTTTCTCGTGATCATGAAAATGCCAAACCATGATGTCCATTGTGGGGAGGACCTGAGCTACCTCTTAGATATCATGCATATAAGGCTGAGCAGACCCGAAGTCAGTGGTACCGATGAAGGATATTTCATTCAGCTTGCTATTGGCTTTGGAGAGAATTATCACATGGTGTCACGCGCGGATGATAAGTATGAGGCTTCACCAGTCATGTCCCGGGTTGAGGTGCGGCTGAAAGAGATTCAGCTAGTGTTTCCAGGGATCTGGAGGGTCACGGCGTTGCGGCTGTTTGCCCTTGGTTGTGTGACTAAACAGGGAAGCCTAGCTGAGCTAGCTGGAGTTTTTCAGGCTAAACCAGCAATCACCGATACTCGGGCCCCCGCCCCTGAAAATAGAAAATAAAAATATATGGAAGAATCGGATCTATTGAAGACAAGGTTCTTTACTCTATTTCGATCTCGGCAACAAGACTAGAGGTACGCTAAATTCGCTTTAATATAAAGCTCCGGTGGCCCAGGTCCAGAATTGAAAGATTATTCCCGGGTGACTGTTTATTCGCTTCTACTCGTGACTGGAAGAAATGCACGGCGACACACAGCGCCAATCTGGCAAAAGATCCAGGCCTCTGTTTTCCAGAGCGAGGAAAGTTGCGTGCCTGCCGTGTCGACGACGGAAAATTCGTTGCCGGGGTAAAGGCCCTCCTTGTGGAACATGTACATCTCGCAAGATTGGAGACGAATGTGAATATCCATGTCAAGAAGCAGAGAGTTTCGTGGAGGTGGTGTCACCAGTAGCTGAAGACAATTGGGAAAGCACTGGACAGTCGCCTGCCGAAGAGGAACCGTGTGATGCAACTGACCGGCTTTCGCCCGGAGATAACACGAACACCCTCTCGAACCTGAGCTCGACTCCCAGTTTAGACTTCAGCGACACCGACGATGATTTCGATACAAGTCTAGACCGCGAAGATGTCATATTCGCGCAGCCGCTCAAGGCTTTGCCCTGCTGGGAAATGACCGAGAACTTGAAAAGGCGATATTTTGCATTGGTTTCTCCAGTTTCGTATTCCTGACCGACGATGGCTTCTTCTGCTAACAGATAACCAGGTATTTTGCATTTTGTCTCATGCAGATTTTGAGAAGGAATATCTGATTTTTCATCAACATCCCGATGTCGCACCTCTCTCCTGGCTATCCCTACTTTTCGCCGTCCTGGCACTCGCGTGCCAAGCAGAGGAACACCCAGACAGAATTTCCCCTTCTAGCGTCTTATCAAAGCGGTATGAAAACGCTGCTTGGGATTCGCTATTGGTAGACAACCCTCCTTTCCAACCATCTAAGACCGCCCTGAAAGCGATGATACTCATCATTTACGGTCGACTTCATCGCGGTAAGGACGTATCAGTGGATCTTGAGAGGGCTTGTATTATGGCGCACGCCATAGACCGTGAGCCGTGCTGCGAACGGTCCCAAACTTGCGAGGAACATTGGAATATCTGGGTTAGGCTCAAAATGCTGTCCTTCATGAACCAGCAGGTGCATGGAGATACCTTCGAGCAAGAGTTCTTTCGAAGTAAAGGGCATTTGGTCAGTGCCCACTGCCATAATTCTATTGGAATTTCTAGGCTGACCATGCACTAGAAACCTTCGCCATTGCAAGATCAATTTACCATGTTTCATTTCAAGCTACTCGAAGTGTCAGACAACATTATGTACAATACACGGTACGGCCTCTCCTCAGTATGGAGCCTACTCGGCCTTGTTGGTCAGCTGTCTTACATCGAATCATCTTTCGCCGAGTTCTCTAGTGAGCTCAATGCTTCTGATCCACAATTTGAAGTTCGGGTTGTGCAACTGGACATCCTGCAATATACGCTCCACTATCTCCTTCTCTGTGTTTATATATCATTCCTTGAGAAGTATCTTCATGGAGACACCGCGCCACATATTCGGTGTTACGCAGCCAGATGCGTTGAAAGTGCAGAAGCCATCCAGAGAATATGTCGCTCTTGGACTAATGGTCAACACTGCAAGGCTTTTGGGTGGTTTTTCCGAGGCTTTGGAAAGTATTACGCAGTCCTGGCGGAGAGGACGTTAGCCGAGTGAAGGGTGATGGAGATGAAATGGTCGGGCTCAGAGGAGAATGACAATGGTGTAATGGTACTCGTGGTTGGAGGCTTCCGAATCGCAGCTCTGAGTCTGGCTACACTTCCAATGGCTAGAATTACAGATTCTGTATGAGACTTGTGAGCCAGTCGTGTCGCACATTTCGAAACTCATTTTCTGCGTCCCATTCCTTGCTCCTTGGCCAGCGGGAGAAAGATGTATGTTAGCCACGCAGAAAGTGCCGGTTGACGGCCAAGTGAACAACTCAAGATTCCCCATAAAAGAGGAATATAGTACTCAGCATTGACAGACAAGTCGCCGAAATCCTCTAGCAACAGAAACTTTGGATTATTCTACCCGACATGCATTTCGCTGCACCTCTCCTCTTAAATCGCGAAACATGATGCAGCACCAGCCGTGAGATTCTCTAAAATCGGCACAAATTGGCTGTGACAATTTGAGACCTTTTTTCAGTGCCCTTGTCAGGAACACGAAAACTCGATGTAAACGTATTGTATCAAACGGCTAAATGGAGGCCATGTATTGTTACAAGCCCGATAGAGGACCTGTTCTTGAACTTGGCGATATGTCCCTAGATCTCCAATAAATACCTTCTGCATCAACTAAATGTTTATGCTAAGATTGCCTAGTCATTCTTTTCTTGTCTTCCCCATGTCGAACAACGAAAAAAGGGCTTACATATTGGAAGGCATGTTGAAAAAGGCGGACAAAAGCTACGTCTGCCCCGCATGTTTCAAGTCATACTCCCGAATGAGCGACTTGAGCAACCACCTCAAACAATTAAAGGGCACCGAAGATCATAAAGGTCTTTCGGAGAGAGAGGAATCTGAATTCCGACGCAGCTACGGTAGAATCATTGGGTGGAAGCCAACAGATAAGGAGCTAGAACTCGAGCTGCCACGCGAACGATTCGCTGCTTTTACAAGAGACGTCATCGTTGAGAAAATCGCCTCACAGACAAAAGACATTTTGCAATCTAAGATCCAGATATATCTGCGAATTGCTCTGTCCTCCGGAATGGCGCACGTGTGTCCCGAATGTGTTGACCATGATTTGGGGTATTTCAATAAGATGGCCGATTTCGATATCCATTGTTGGGAAATGAACGATCAAACACACATGGGCCTATCATCAAAGACCCGGGCAGACTTCGTTTCTGCCTACCTCAAAGCAATGGGGCTCCCCCAGATCGAAGAGTTGCCCCCTGGAAGCGGTAAACCGGGACGCTGGACCAATAGACGATATTTGAAGACTGACTATGTGTTCAAAACAAAGAAAAGGTATTACCACAAGGAAGAAAGATGCAAGCTCAGCACTAATCACACGCGACCTAGGTTTGTTGCGCCGGAAATTACAGCTGCCGAGGAGCAGGCTATTATTTAATCGAGATGGGTCGTTATTTGTGTGTCAGTGAAACAAACGCAGTTATGCCTGCGAATGCATGGATGTGTGATTGCGCTATTCTAGCATCTGAAGCAGGCAGTAAAAATAGCCAAGAAACTAAATCTAACGGGCGAATCCTCTGGACAGCGATGAGTTTCGATGTAAAGTGAAAGATCCCTTGTAACCACTTCTGCGTAAGTCAAATCTTTCCGCGCAAATGCGGACAATGCAGGTAAAAGAAAATGCAACGCATGGCTCCCGCCCATGCCGCTGCGATAAGCTTGATAGCCACCAGTGGGGTCGATAAGCTTGCCGTACTTGCGCGAGCATTCTGTTTGTAAGCCGCTCGCTTGTATACCTTGCACTACAGCTGTCAAGGAATAGTAGTTGCAAGTAGTGTGGAGGGCCTGAAAAGGTCTGTCAGAATTGATATTGAAGTTGAGACGGTTCCAGCATACCTGAGCAAGACCATCAATTTTAGATTCCAGCCCAATCCCAGCAGCCATGCACTCTTTCACCTCCACCATCAGCTGATTCCACCGGGAGCTCAAGATGGAACGCGCTTGGGCTCCATCTTTGGTGAAGGCGATCGGCACATAATCTCTGAAGAGAGCCATGTCTTTGCGTGTTATGAGGCTCGCAAGAGCTGGAATGTCGTTCCATCGCAATTGCTCCAGAAAATCGTTTCTGTTGTTGAGTGGCGTGCTCCAGTCTGCCTCAAGTGGCCTCAAAGAATTGTGCAAACGGATGCCCAAAACCT